TGATCACCCTAAAGATCACAGTATCTTTCCATGCTCTTTCTTCATCCGTGAACCCCATGGATAATGTGTGAAGGGACAAGTGCAAGGTGTGAGACCAAACATGACTTGAAAAAAATAATGCCTGATGTCAAAGGAAGTTGAGGCTCACAGTTCGAATGAGTTGATCAGTGTCACACACTGATTAAATGCAAGGATTATTTGAGTCTGTAGTAGGGATTCTTGCATAGAAAGTCTGTAGTTGGGAATTCACGGGTCTACTACACTACCTTGTTATGTTATCTGCTTTCTGATATGAGTTGTCTTGGTTTTGGTAGATGAGCTGCTGTAGTATGCTAGTTTTCCCTAAAAGTGCACAGATATCAGTAGGGTGAAGTGTTGTTAATATTCACAGAATAAAATTATATAGTAAAAACCTGAAAATTGTAGAACGCAGGAAGGAAAGAAGCCCGTTGCAGAGGTATATGGCTTGAAGTATAAAGGACTTGCCACTGCACAACTGAGGTTTCAAGTAGCTGTGTCTAATTCATTCCAGCAGGTAAAATTGGAGTACAGCACTACTGAAGAGCAGTGCTCACAAAAGGATAAACATGGCAGTTCACCTGATTTTTTTAACTTCCTTTGTAACTTGGAATATGAAGAGATCTGAGATGTCTGTTTAATTTTAGCACTCTTAATGTGACTAAAAATGTCCTAAAGGCTCAACACTTACACCCACTGAGGTTTACAGAGTACGCAGGCTAGATGTAGCACACAGTTCTGAATTTCACTAGACCAAAATAAAAATTTAAAAAAAAAAAAAAAAAAAAAAAAAAAAAAAAAAAAAAAAAAAAAAACACCTGGCATGTGAACTTCTATGTTAAAGAAACTGCCTGCACACTACGTGCTGATGTTTATTCTAGCAGATTGATCTCTATCATGCATAATATTTTCATATCTACATATCCACTAAATATATTTTCACTTTATTCATCTTACAAGTTTCTCATGATATGACAGAATGGGAGATGGGTTGCCATGCCTGCGCTGCCTGTAAAACCAGATAACATTTAAGATGTGTCCCTGCAAGACATGATCAGTAACAGCATGTCCCAAAAGCAAAACTGAATCTCTGTAAAAAAGGCTGAGTGGAGCCTTTCACATTTTTGTATCCTGGGTTTTAAGTATTCAGTATTTTTAAAATTTGCATGCCAATAGATGTGCTTTAAGTTGTTACTAGGCAGCTTGGATATTTGAGTTGCCCTGAAAACTGAGTTTAACTCTTAAAAAAAAAAGTCTGTGATGAACCCCCCCAACTCCATTTTAGTTAGTTTCTTTATTTACATTATAAAACAGGTAAAAAGTTAAAGGATATTTATAATTTAAATAGATGAACAAATTGTGTGGTTTAAATATTATTTTATTGTCACAGTCTTTTGGAGACTGGTGCAGATCCACCTGATGTCCCTGAGAGCTGACTTTTATAGTGAAATTATGTTCATAAATTGAGTAGAATTGCAAGAGAACATAGTTCCTAAATGAGATGGTGATAACCCTTTGGAAGAGAGAAGAACCTACGAATTCATTTAGGAAGTGTCATGTGATACTGAATCATTTTTAACACCAGCATTTTTGGAAGTTGGTTTGGGGTTTTTTTCAGCTTTTGGGATCTGCATGTTGTCAGAGACATAAAGGCAGGCACAGCAGTTACTTCTTTCTGCAAAGTTGTTTTACACTGTGAGGTAAAAGACCTTGAAAAAATGTTCCCTTGGTATAAAATTATTTTGAATATTCCTATTTATTTAGCAATATATGATATAACTCTACAATTATTTTATATATTAATATTTATCTCTAAAGTAATTGGAAGTTCATTAAATATGTGTTTACTGAAGAATACTTTTCCCAAAGCCAAGTGCAGTGGAAACATTATTCAATATTTTAAAATTTTAAATTGTATAAGAAAATCACTTCAGAATCAATTAGCATCTGAACTATATTTTTTTTCCTCAGACTTGATAATTGTGCAAATGTTACATCGATTATTGTGTGTATTGTGTATGTATTATTATGTATAAATGTTATTTGAGAAGTTGTCATTAGTGTTATAACGAGTTCAGTATGGGAATAGAATTAATTATGCTGCTTTAGCATTTCACTTTATGAGAAAATTGTTGTCTTTACTCTTTGCTAAGTTATTCTTGCATTTAATAATTCAATAGTCAGTCTGAACCATTTTTCAACAGGAAAAAGGGGGCAGCAGCTTGTCTTTATTTTCCATGTATATTCAGTGTTGTGCTCAGGGGAATGGTATATCCAAAAATAAGACTATAAATAAGAAATCAGTAGCCTTTTCTGTCTTGCTGCATTATGTGGGTTTGATATATGCTTCTGCAGCATTATTACTTACTCTGTTCAAATCAATGCTCTGAGCTTTTCTTTGTGATTGATTTCTTCCAGATTAGCCGGTGAAGTATGTGATTTAATAAACACCGCTGTTACCTGTTTACTAACACACAAATGTCTGCAGGATTGCATGCAGAGATACTGTAAAGTTTCTAAAATGCTTCAGTCAGTCATAAGATTTTGATGGTATAACTATTTGAACAGGAAAGAGAAAACAACTTTGGACTTAGGTAGTCAAAAGCAAAATAAAATTGTTTGGAAGAAATAGAAATAAAACAAGAACTTATAAAAATTAAGCCAGATTCTGTAGGCGATAATGATGAAAAGGAAAGATGCTTACTAGGGTATTCTCCTCTTTAATGCCACTTCCATGCTTCAGAAAAGAAGCCTTTTTTCCATACTTGTGTGTTCATCAACATTGCAGTAACAGATTGAAAAGTATCACTAGCACTGTAGAACTGTTCATGTCCCTCCCTAAAATATACCTATGAATATGTATTTTGCATTACCATTTAGTGAAGGTTTTTTTCCGAAATGGGGTGTCAGGGAATAATTCAAATGGGTTTTGTGATGTAGTACTATTATTTAGGATTAAATGGGTTTGGGCTCCATATAGAATGGCTCCTCTGTAATAGGATATTTCATTGCTGCAGTTGCTTTTCCATAGCAGTTTACAGGTTGTTAATGTTCAGGGCAGCCATATCTCAAAAGAGTTCTGTGCAGGACAAGGAAGGATTTTTTTTGTGGCATCTGGACATTTAGAACCATATTTTTTACAGTTGCTTATGTCTGGATTACATGAACCTGGTTTGGACACAGTTTTGTACAGATTTCTGTTTGCCCAAACAATTTTATTTTTTGTATTTCTGCAGTGCCTAAAACCAGTGTTTCTAATGCTTCTCAACAGAGAGATTTTGTGTATAACCACAGATAGAAATGGCCTTAGAAGCATTAATGGCCCGTGCAGTTGGGAAGTTTGGAGAAAAGTTTCATGAGTTGCTACAGTATAATATTTTAACACAGATGTCCAAACACAGTATTTTTCATCTTCCTTCAAGTCCACTCTTAGTTCTTCAGTTTTCTTGATAAAAGCCTGAAAAAAATCATTATTCCTCCATATTTTTTTCTCACTGTATATATGATAGGGTTTTTTTTCCTTCGTGGTTTTTGCAATATATTATTCTCTAGAGGTAAATCTCAATAGCTTCACAGTATAGCTCTGCTCAGGTGTGGGTTGCAGCCTGATCTGCAGCATGTTCCCTCAGTCTCTCTACCCAAATTAGTCTGTGGCTGGGTCATTTCTTTAATGCTTTCCGAGAAATGTTATTGGGGCTCTATTAATGTTTCTCCGGGAAACTTGTATTTATGATATTACCCTGGCTTCATCCACTTTCCTGGGAGATGGTTTTCTTTTTCAGCTACTATACTGTTGTTTTTAATATTACTTATGATTGTTGTCCTTTCCTACTACTTTGGATTGTAGAATTAAAATGGTACTTTCAGCACAGAAACTATCATATTGCTTTTGAAGGATAGATATTATTCTAACCCTTCCAACACCTTGGGAAGTATTCTACAATATGATTCTATTCAGTCCACGTTTTCATCAACACGATCACCATCACCTGCAGCCATCATTCCATTTTAGAGCGTAGCCCTACAGGTATTTTTTCTGGTTTTGCAATATCAAGATATGAAGAAGATGAATGAAAGTTTCTTGCATGTTTTTGTCAGTGTGGTTTTATAGCTTCCACGAACAGTGATGGACTTGGCAGCCTAGAGACTGAAATCCTCTGTTTAATCACAGGCTAGGTATAGTTCGGCAGAAAGACATATTTCTATACACAGCCCCTGTAGCATGTCTAAGCCTTGAGCTGGAGAGCCTACCTTCTGTAAATGAAAAAAAAAGCACTCAGGCCAGTCAGTCCCTGGCCTCATCTCTGGAACTGTTGCAAAGAAGCACTCGTGCCATTGAGTTTCGTGACAGGTGCTAACGCCTAGTCTGGAGTGGACTGACAGTTCCGTTTCACGCATTTGAGAATTTCTTTCTATAAGTTACCAAGAGGGTGTAGCGCTCCATCCAGTTTGGAAGTTGTACGTTTGTGTGTATCAAGTTGTCACCTCTTCAAAAGCAATAGGTTTTCAGGTCTGCTTGCATTTAGCCATGAGCTTGACCTGAAACTCATTAGCGTCTGTGGTTTGGGTTTTTTTCTTTTTTGATGGGTAAACTCTCGTAAAATCCGATAGCTAAAACCAGAGGACTAAGTAAAACAATAAAACTTACTCCTATTTTTAGAATGTTGAGATGTTTATTTGAAAACAAATTAAAACTAAGGCCCTTCAGAGACTCCCACAGAATACTGGGTCCACAGAAAAAGTATGCACAGAATCCTTCTGTGTGGTCATAAATTGTCATCTCTTAACATTTTTTGATGTTGTATTAGAAAGGCAGTGGTCTAGGTCATATTCTTTTTCATAAAGATGTGTTTATGGGGTTGTATTTGTTTTTCCATGAAAATACGATGTTATGAAAGTATGTGCTATTCCAAAAGAAGTACTGGCTATTAAATCTGCTAGAAATTATTTGACTGTTTTTTGGGTTTTTTTGTATTTTTCAGCTAACAGGACAAGTGACTTTGCAAATTGCCAGTGAACCAGTTTTGCCGTTTAATGCCCTCGACATCGCGTTAGAAGTTCAGAACAGTCTTAAAGGTAATTTTTGTTAGAGGAATATTGTTCTCCATTAATACAGAGAAAAATAAAAGGATCATCTACTCCATGACACAGATTTTCAATTTCCAGTTAAATGATAGTCAGTGATTTTAGTAGTTAAACAGTGTCATTATGTAATGCTAACTAAAACGCAGTTTTTCTTGCTAAATAAAGCCATAAAATGTTTATATTTCTTCTGATGTTACTATGTCAGTTAAGCAATAATTAGTTTTAAAATCTAATCATTACAGTCAAAGATAACAACCTCTATGACTGAAGTTGATTTTAATTCACTTCAAGGCTTTGTTCAGTACAAGCAGGAGAGGGCTTCTAATCTTGCTGCCATTCAGCTCCTTACTTTTCACAATCATCTTCCTTGTTTGGTTATTCCACTAACTCACCTTGTTGGCAGAGCATGTTACCTTTCCTCCTTTTTCAGGCATGACAAAGCATGATAATTTACCAATATGTATTGTTTGAGTTAATTAAGCACAGAGACCCTGAAAACTCTATATTTGATCTTGGTGTGTTTGGAACAATGGATTGTGATTAGGGAGAGGGACAAAAAATTCCTAGTCAGAAAGTAAATAAGTGACTGGTAAGTTGGAAATGATGCAGATGTAACTCTCATAGACCCTGGATTTGGCCCTGTTTGCTAGGTGAAGGGTGAATGCCTTCATAGGAGACCACTCCATCAAGATTGTGGAGCCGCTACTAACATTCCTGTGTTGCTTTCTCATTTCTGGCTCTTTCTGTTGTCTTGTGGCCTTTTAGAGCTTGATAAAAGAACTAGCATGATGCAGTCTTTTTGTCCTGTGTAGGCAAGAGAACTCAATTAAGCCAACAGCCCTTGGCTGGAGGTGCTTAAGATAACACAGTTAAAGGGTGCAGTTGTGCATTCCTTTTGCTTCTGGGGACTGTTTTGGTTGCGGTATTTATTTTTGTCTCTATAGTTGGTAGAAAAATGTTGATAGGAACTAACCCCATTGTATGTTATTGAGATGTTCTCTGGTACTATCTAGACTACAGAATAACAATAAACCATTTTCTCAATTATGAAAAGAATATCTGTCTTGGCTCAAATCCTGAGGACCAAGGAGGGAGAGGACATCTAGGTTCTAACACTATCCAGTGTCACTCTTCCATATAAGCTTTCTCCTTCAGTATCATCTGTCTTCATCCTCCCATTCTGTCTCTCTTCCCATACAGTTTTCTTGTATTTTAGTATATTCAAATGAGATCTTAATTTTCAAAATGACTAGTTGAAAGTAGGCTGAATGTGAAGAGCACATAGGAGTTTTAGTCCGTGGAGATTAAATCTTTTGATAATTTAGCTGCCAAATTCTAACATAATTGTGTACAAACTGAGATATTTTAGAAGCTGGTATTCTGGTCAGAATTCAGTGAATTTAAAAGGAATATTAAAAGGTACATCCCTGACAAGAACCCCCATGAAATTTGGAAGACTACTCCAAAACATGCCCTTGTTAGGACCTCACAGTGAAAAGAATTTGAGATAGATAAAACCATTTTGTTATTTCCTCTTCTCCAATTATTTCTCTGGTATAGGTTACCTGTAGTGTGCTAAGGCCTTTAAAAAATAATTTTTGTAGACATTTATGGAACTCTCAGATTGATCTGTTAAATAAAGATGGAAATTCTATAAAATCACACCAAAGCTTTACATATAGTTTACTAGAATGTGACATCTCAAATATTTTTTGCAATCTTCAGGTGTTGCCCCTACATTTCATTCACTCCCTGCAGTATAAAGTATCACTTTTCTATAATATACATTCATAGAAGTATGATACCTTTACTTTAATCTTTGCCATCCATCATTGTCAAGACTTAGGAGTAAGTAGGCTAGCATTGGTCTGGAATCAGTGAGTATCCAAAAAGACAAGTAATTTTAGCTCTGTTGTGCCATATAAACATTGGTTTAGTTCAGCCTAACACAGCAAGGAATAATCATCAAATAAAACCTGTGGCTCAGCTGGTATTGCTTCAACTGAACATGAGATGTCTGCTGTTGTTCTTCCTTTTTTTTTTTTTTTTATTTTGAGTAACAGGAAATTTTGATTTAAACTGACTTTTTTACTCTAACTTCAGTTAGATCATTTATCTCCACCACTTCAGGGGAGGAAAAATCATTTTCTAGGCTGTAGGGCCAGCAGGATAAATTTTCTCCTAGCTGTTCAATTTAGAGTTTTGTTTAAAGACTTTTTTCATTACTTTCATGTCTCATCTATATCTGACTTGTGTCAGATAGCAGTTTATTTTTATTTTGGAAACCAATAAGACAATGGTCTTTTTCTGGTTACTTAAATGAGAAGTTGTACTTTTTAACCTGTCTCACAAATTTCTTCATTCTTCAGAAGATTTTATGTTGTCTTAGATTTCCTGTTCAAAGGTGCATTCTTTTAGTAAAGTATTTCCTTCTCCAACTTAATGCAAACTGTAAATGTAGAAAAGGTGAAGGGAAATCCTCGACATGCTAGAAGATTTGTTCATTAGGCTTAATTTCATGCCTCTAGTCTCTGGTTCAGCCAGTCATTTAAACATGCATTTTATTGCCTATTGGACCTTCTCACATTCTTGAAATTAAATCATATGTCTAAATACTTGAGTCACAGTTTTTCAGTCTCCTGGATGTCCTCACAAAAGGATGCCTGTGTCTTAATATTTGTTAATAGTGCATTTATTTATGTTTCCAAAGGATTCATTCTGTACTGTTAGCTCTATTAAATTCAATAGGATGTTACTCAGCACTTTATAAACTATTTCAGGATAGGCTGGATGGCAGATTATAGCGAAATGTCATCCACAACATGTTTACGTCTGCCTTGAGGCCTGTTCCTCAGAAAAATGGGGAAATGATTGTTAAGTAACATGTGTTCTCTCTGCTTGCACACACCACAACTCTTGGAAACAAGCTACTGCTTTTGGGTTTACCTCAAAGGAAAGGTTGTGACTGGAGAGACATTTCTTTTTGTGCATCTGCTGAGGGTCTGATGTTTAGCAGGGAACGTCGTGGTCATAAATGAGGTGAGATGGGTTCCAAGACTGAAATCCGGGTCCCTGGGGCTATTCAGGACGTTATCTGTTTGATCGTAGATGTGATATTTTACAGAAATTCATAAATAGGTGACAGTTTAAAATATTCTCATTAGCTACACATTGCAGTTGTTTGGTCCTGCCATATATTTAAAATCAAGACCCACTGTAACTTGAACCAAATATAAGAATATCTTGCCAGGCCTTGCATGCTATGAAAATCCAATTTATCTTTTGAGGTAGGGGGCAGACAAGATGTCAAATCTGATGTGTGAATGATACAAATGGTTCTTTTAAGCACTTCTATAGAAGTATTTTGTAGGTATATGCAAGTACCAATGTAAAAGCATTTGCATATAAGTATTTTTTATGTATAGAAGCATTTTTATTCTAAATATATTCATATTATCTGCTGATTGCTTTTAGCACTGTGCAATCTGGACTTGCTTTTTGGAGCCTATCTTGCATTGGGTTTGAGCCTCTTTAAAATTAGTAGATATTGCAGTAAACTTCAGGGATTGATGATGGAGGTATTAAGGTGTCTTATTAGGATTAAAAGCCTTTCTGTACCGCTGCACCCGACTGACTGAGAAATAACAAGTTCAATCACACAGTCCACAAAAATAAAGGCAACTAGGTTTGATGGTAGCCATGTCCCTCACTTAGGTGCTGTTGGCTGTAGAAGCTGATAACATTTCATTATTGCAAGTCACTGAGACTGCCTAGACCCATGCAGACCTTTTAAAGATCGGTATCTGTTGCCCCAGCCTTAGGTTGTGGCTGAGTAGCACTAGATGTGCGTGCTAAGATTCCCTAGTTCTGTCATCACGGGCTGCTGTAGCTGGTAAGCACATCAGATAAGCTGTAAGCCATCTCTAATAGATACTGACTGAGAGAGGCCTATGAAGACAAATTGAGTGTGGGTAAGATTTTCTGGGTTTGCCTGTATAGGGAGGGGAAGAGCTGTGATTTAAACCTCTTTGGTTGATCTGGTATCAGTTGTGTGTTGCTTCCTATCAGTTAGGCCCTTTCTTCTCCTTGGAAAGGATGTTTTACAGATGTTACAGAAGCTGAAGTGCTCAGGGTGATAACAGAATAGGCAGTGCTAGCAGAAGTTTAAAAATGATCTGGTTTATGATAAGCCATTTCTGGGAAAGTCTGCATGACTTTCCACAGCCCTGGCTCAACCCATACATTTTCAAAACATCAGTCTAAACTCTCAGTCCCTAAAAAAATCAATACATAAACATATCTCTGTCATTTACTTGATGGCTGCATACTCATTGCCTACAGCTATCTGCTAGTCTTCAGCTTGGCATCATTTTACCTGCTTGACCGTATTTGCCTGGTCATTTAGGGTGCTTTTCAGAGTTACTTTCTCCATCTGTCTGTAATGTTCAGAAAGATTTCTTCTTTACTGTTCCCACCCGTTATTCTTGACTGCTTCAGAAGTGAAAAATGCAACAGTTAGTTATCTGTATATATGACAGAAATACCTTCTTTTCCATGAGACACTGACATCTTGTCTTCAGTATCCTTTCAAGGATATTATATATTAGTACTGGAAAACCTTTCATCAGCCTTTAAAAAAAAGAAAAAATCATGGAAAAATGCATTTGCCATGGACAAAGCATTTGGTACTGGAAGGAAAGGATGAGCATCTGTTCTGTATCAGTAGCCCATATATGTTTCGGTAGCTCTGTACAAAGTCATTGATACATTCATAGAATCATAGAAACATTTGGGTTGGAAGGGACCTTTAAAGGTTATCTAGTCCAACCTACCCCTGCAGTGAGCAGGGACATCTTCAACTAGATCAGGTTGCTCAGAGCCCCCTCCAAACTGGCCTTGAACACTTCCAGGGATGGGGCATCTACCACCTCTCTGGGCAACCTGTTCCAGTGTTTAACTACCCTTATCATAAAAAAATTTCTTCCTTATATCTAGTCTAAGTCTACCCTCTTTCATTTTCAAACTGTTACCCCGTCTTCTATTGTAACAGGCCCTACTAAAAAGTTTGTCCCCATCTGTCTTGTAAGTCCCCTTTAAGCATTGAAGGTCCACAACAAAGCCTCCCCAGAGCCTTCCCGTCTCCAGGCTCTTCTCCAGGCTTCCTCTGTATTGACATGCATAATAGTATGTCACAGTATGCTGTTTTAATGATAGCCTTTTTGAAAAGAGACATCTTGTAGCAACACCAGAGTAATTTGCTTGGGCAGTAGCAGTCATGGTAGCAAAATTGAAGCTGATGGCAACATCTTTGAGCTTAAGGATGTCTCTGGATTTGTGTTCCTGCCCCCTTTAGGGCTCCTTCTACAAAGCTTTCCCATTCAGATTTTCTACTGCCAGGTCTGATCATTGGATTTTGCACAGCATGAAAAATCTTCCTAGTGAATACATCAACACACCATAGCTGATACTGAATTTGCAAGCTAATCAAAACCTGGAGCAATTTCTGCTCTCTCTTACATGCAGACATACGTTCACATGCATGGTGAGCAAACATCATGCCTTGAACTGCTGATTTCTCTGTGCTCATTCTCCTGTAGGTACTTGCAGGCAAGTGCATTCGTACCAGGGAACACAAACACAATTTGAAAACAGTAAATCTCTAGCAGTACTTTTCATAAGAGCAATCAGTTACACAGGGAAAGGCTATTGTATTCAATGTCTGTAAAAATAAATATCTATTTGGTGTGACCTGCTTCTGAATAAAATCCAGTTACATTTAGCAAGTGTAATGAAATTCAGCAGTGTAATTCTCTGATCAAGAGTATACATACTCCTGAGTCACTTTCTTGTACTTGCAATTTTATTTATTTAACAACTAAACAACTAGCTTAGATGATTCAACATGATTCATACTAGAGACAAAAGGACAAAGAATACAAAATATAGTAATGTGGCATTGTTTTCTCTTGAGTTGAAGTAACAGTTGGAGTATTTACTTTTTCTGTAGAAGCATCAAAAGATGTTTAAAATATTATTAGTTAATACATCCTTTTCTTTAAGAATCATTTGCCCTTCTACTCCCAGCTTCTCAACCTGAGAAAAGCATAAATCACAGTTTCCCTTGGCAGTGACGTTCAGTGTGTTGTGGTAAAAACTACTGATGCCCTCAAAGCATCGTCTTTAGTTCTCTGTGGTAACACTGACCATACACAATTGCACATTTTGTACTGAAGTATGAAAAAAGAGCCTGGGTGTTTATTTTATAATGAGTGATGGTTTAGAATGTGATGTAAATAGTGCTTTTTACTCATGACTGTAAGGTAAAATGTGGTTGATTTAGGGGCAAAATGTGTGCTGTGGAGAAGGAGTGAGAGCATTTACAGGATTTTTATGTTTAAAAGGGTGGTCTGGTTGTCTTATTTTCCAAATATAGAATGATGTATTTTCCCTTTATCTCACCTTCCTTATTGAAAAGGCATAGCTGGCATTTGCAATTATTTATGTAATGTTCAGAATAAAGTTATAAATGTTGTATGTTAAGTAACATACTTTTGTTACTTAACACTTGAATATGAAGTGCTTTGCAGAAACCAAAGGATTCTTTCTAACAGGGTGAATTTAAAGCTTTCCACACTGACACACGTCCCAGCATAAGGTATGCAGAGTGCCTGGATTATATACATGGAAATTGCAAGTTCTTCAGCTGCACAGAGTTTGCCTGAGATTTGAAAACTGAGGGTACTAATATTTTGCAAAATATCCCAAATGTACCAAGTTTATATGCTTGGAGAATCTTTTTCTGAGTCATCAACCTAACTTAATCAGACTTTAAATGACTCCAGACTCAATCATAAAGATACCGATCCTGTACATCAAGGTACTACAATGCCTGTTATCCATTCAAATTAGGGAAAGGTGTATTGGTCCAGAGCCACTGACAAAACAATCTTGTCCCAAACGCAGACAGACATTAGCCATCTTCTCTCACTCCTGTTCCCACGGGGCCTCCTGTTGAACTTCATCTTTATAGCTCAGGAAAGCTGAAATCTCATGTTTTGCTGGATTGGAATGCGTTAGTCAGATGAATGACAGGAGTGCATGGGGATCTATGAACTCCTTTCCCTTTGCTGAAATGCATCCAATAGCAAATCTCTTTTTCCATACGAGAGGGAGAATGTCATTTTCAGGCGTTTGCATGAATTTCTTAGTTGTACCTATTTGCTTTTCCATTCCTATTATATGCTTACCTTTCAGACTCCATAAATAGTTTGAGAAATGGGTTGTTGTTCTCCATTTACTATTTCTGACCTCTCCATATATCTATTCGACAAGGAACTTTAGTATTCATTTAGCTTGTGTCTTGAACCACTCTGTTGGATTAATCATCTCAGTCACCAAGATACTGAACTCACTGAGGTTTGTACATTCAACTGAAGGTGAGACAGCTTCTAAAGTTTAATGGTTTGTTTTGATTAAATCATCATTTGAAAGATCTAAAGATAGTTATTTTCTTGTCCTTAATAGGTAAAGTGAATCTTGGCCTTAAAGATAATTTCTGCATCCTGGAAATGTTTTTGTTGACTGGTGTTACTTTTGACTTTAAATTGGGTTCAGACTCTGTTTTCTCTCTCCATGTGCTTGTAAAAATTAACACAGTCTATGTATGCACTGGGAAAGGAGGGCATGCTCTTCACCTGCCCTGCAGGTGGGAATAGACTGCACAGTCACAGTGCTCCAATTCACATACACATTCTTCTTTCTGGACTATGAACAGGGAAATAGTGAAATTGTGGTGTGCTCCAGAGTGCTGTGGGTTTTAATTCTTTTGGCATCTGTGTACGATCACCAAAAAAAAGTAACAGTTAACACTCCAAGTTTAAAAAGTTTTGAAAATATTGGCTGGATTAGAATATACATTTGGAAATCAATTAAAGTGTTAGTTGGCTCATTGCGAACAATTTCACATCCCCTCTACAAGTGTTTTTAACCTCTAGGATTCTAAAATGTTGAACAAATTTCAGTTAAACTCTGCATATTACGATTTTCTATACAGCAGTTGTTATGGAATCCAAGCACAAGTTTCAAACTTGGGAGCAGTAGCATCAAAATAAGTTCTGTCTCAGAGGAAATGTTATAGTTGGTGATTTATAACCATTGCTTCCTACTTGCCTGTTTTTTCCAATGGTAGGTTTCAAGCTGTATTCCAGAATCATTCCTCATAGTTTATTGGATGTTAAAATATTACAGCCCAAACTGATTGTCTTTGAAAAGTAGATCAGAGCTTATGTACAATGATCTATGGCTTTCCTTGGTCCACTACATAATTCTCACATGGGAAAAGAGGCTCAGGTTTTAATTGGACTATTAATTTTGACTTGTAACCAAGAGTAATAAGCGATTCTCTCTGAATCACTGGCAACTGCTTTTCTCTTACTGTTCCTAGATGATGAAGGAGACATTTCTCAGTTGCTTGCAGTGGCATCACGTCTGAGGGACACTGCAGAATTGTTCCAGTCAGATGAGATGCGCCCAGCTAATGACCCCAAGGAGCGAGCTCCTATCAGAGTCAGGATGCTCAATGATGTGCTACAAAGCTTGGAGAAAAGCTTCCTGGTTCATCGAGTTCCTCCTGGGCTTTACAGGTATGGTGTTCAAATGTTCTTCATTTGAGCTAAAATGGTAATCTTGCACTTCTTGTTTTTTAAAACTGTCATATTCTTTTAAAAAAAAGTCTCGTGAGTATCCAAGATTAAAGCTGTTTATTACTATCTCATCCTCTTTGCAGAAATCTTTAATTCATTACAATACAACAGGTCATTAGAATGCAACACTGTAGCATTTCTGTCATGACATCACTGCTAACAAGACGTACAGTGTGATGGCAACTCAGGCAGCATAACAGATACTTGTGTTAGGTGGTGCAGTAAGCTTCCAGAATAAAATATTTTGGAGTCTAATACTGCTTGACAAGCTCCCCCTATATTTTATTTAAAACTTTTTACAGTTCATTGAAGATTCAGAATTATACAAAATACTGTGGAGCACTATTTAACATATTTAATTATATAGCAGTGTTCTTGGGTGTATTTCAACCAAAGGCAATACAGTGGATTGAATGAGAGGGCCTTAGTCACCATTCAAAACATCTTGTCTCAGGTTAGGATTATTCTCCAATATGTACTCAGCTGCACGACACAGCTTGATTTTAAGATGTCATAATCATTTTATTGTTCACTTTGTAAGAAAGAAGTCTACAGGTCCGTATCTCTCACCATAGATTCCTCTACCAAAAAAAAAAAAAGGGCAATCAGTAACTTAAAAATAAGTTTGAAAAGCACGAATTGGCCAAACCTGCCCTGAATACTGCCTGGCCCTCTGGCTGTTCAGGAGAAGTAACAAAGTGTATGTGTGTGCTGCAGTTCAGACTGTCTGAAGCACTGTACTGCAGCCCTTCAATGGAGTGTTTCATAGCTTGACCCCAAGAATAAGTTTTGAATGCCCTGGGCTACACAGTGAGGGCATATGTTGACTGTTTGACTTCACCAGGCCTACTGGGATTATTTTCAAGGACTCTGCAGCTGAACATAGCCAATGGCTCATCCATACTAACCATTAGGAGTCTTCCCCAAGTAAAACTGTCCCTAAAGCCTTACCCAGGTTTTTATTTTAGGGGAAACTGGTTGGTTGGCATACTCTAAAATGAGAGCTTGCAAGTGAACTGACTTGCATACACAGGAGACAGGCAGGGCCAGGACACAGAAGTGAATGAGGCATCTGTGTTATTTAGGAATGTAAAGGTACTTGCAACCAGAACTAACTAAAGTAATAAAACAGTACTTTGTTGCAGCTGATGGAAAAAAATTGTCAAATGGCTTGTGCAAATGGTTGTTTCAAGTGGGCAGAAAATAGACAGATGGTAGAGGTAGACTTTGGAAGAAAAGTAGACAGCTACAGCACCGGGAGGAAGTGATTCTTCCAAGCATTAGGAATGGCATAAAACAAATGCAGTCATCTTTTAACAAAAGCAAAAGCAAAAAAAAAAAAAAAAATAGTTGTGGTGAACTCAGCTGTGTCAGTGAATAAAATCCCTACAGCTATAATAAAGAAAATATAATAGTGATATTTGGGGAGGGAATAATTTGCTTCATTCCTGCTGTGACTGAATTTATAATATAAAGAAATAAACCAAAATGTGATTAAATAAAATCTAATATTCCAGGTTTAGAACTGCTGTCTTTCTTGTCTGAACTGGCATGGTGTTGCAAAGGAGCCATAAAACTGCTTAATATAATGTAATGTGTCTGTGTTGCATTGCAGTGGCACATTGTTGAGTCTGGCCCAGTTCTTTATTTGTAAAAATAAATTATGCCAAATCTTAGGATTCCAGTAAGAGGGTTTTTTGAGTTCTTCTAATATTTAAATTCTTGCAGTACATCCAGTCTTAAGTCTGTTATTCATCAAGATGTAATTGCTAGATATGCAGGTATAATGTGAATTAAATTCTTTACCTTCCTGCTCTCAGCAGTACTTTGTGCAGAGCACGGTATGCACACAGCAAAGTAGATAGTGTGGAAGTGAAAACCTTGTCATTTTCCCCCTCCTGATCTCATTACATTTGATACAAGATTTAGCAGTAGACAAGAAGGTTACTTCAGAGTTTTTGAAAATTACATAACAGTGAAGTAGACCTTGTGTATTGTCATTTAGATACTTATTTGAAAACAAAACATTATTTGTACTGTGCCGAGGTGTGTAATTGTACTGTAGATTTACCTTTAAGGCAGACAGAGTTGAGGAAATTTACAGATTTATGATTTCATTTCCTGCCATTAAAAATCTGCCATACATTTTCTTTTCAAAATTAGTATCTAACGTCCTTTATTATAAAGGTCTTTATTTGGGTTATTTTTTCACTTTTTACAGACTGAAAGTCCTTCTGTTAATTGATGCAGTTATATGAATCTATTTTTTGCTCTGAAGCTATAATTGTATCACAGGAACACTAGGAGTACTTGAAAAACCTGATATACTTTTTTTTTTTTTTTCTTCTATAACTTGACGCTTTTCTTTTTGTAATTTGGTAAAGAAAACAAATGAAAAAAAAAGTCTCACAGCCAGGACCTTGTATGCCATGTTTCATCCCAGTTGGAAGATTGATGGGCAAGTTATATACCCCTGAAATAGTGGTTTATAATGGAAATGCTGGCAGCCCTTTAACTATAGCAGCACAAGCAGTGCAGCAATAAATACTGTGCTTCATCTGTAAACAGAAATTTAGGATGCAGTTTGCAGCCTTGACCTTCAGGCTCCAACTGTGTTTAGATCATTAAGATTCCATAAATACTGTAATTTACAGCCTTCTGAAGGAAGAATTTGTGTGCACAGTAAAGCACGTATTCTTCATGAAAAAATGATTGCTTCCTGTATACCCATTTGGACTCATATTCTCAACCTCAATCAAAGTACTTGACAAATTTGCGGAAGTTTAGGCATCATTTTTAGGCTTGTGTTTGTCCTAATTCACAGCTCTCTGGATCTATACTATGTTTTCTTTTCTAGAACTTGAATTAAAAAGAGAAGTGGATTTTTTGCTTTATTGCGGGAGGTGGCTTGCAACCTACTTGTGTTTGTCCACTACAGGGGAACTACTACATCTTTTCTATATCTTCTTTCTTTTGTATGGTTTGTACACTCATTGCCATAGCTGTAGTCGATTTCTGTATATATGTACTTAAAAAATAGATGCCTCATTCAAGTCAATGTCATAGGGCAATATTTGGCCATAATAGATACATTATTCATCTATAATAAGCAATAAAATTACTAAGAATTCAAATTACTTTTTGATATTTCTATTAGGATATCCTGACTAAATTAAAGTAAGGATTATTGATGCTGGCAGGTTGTTCAATACAGTGTAAGTAAACACTGTGATTTAGATTATTAGCCTTCTTACCTGAACTTCATGACATTGAACTGAAAATTTGACAATGGCAGACTTTCCCCATGATATTCTCTTTCCAACTGAGCTGGAAGTATGGAAGTACAACTTTCATCAGGGTATTTCAGTCTTATCCAGACATTTAGACAGAATGAAAAATAATAAGTTGAGAAATGTTATCCTGTTTCACAAAGGTTACCCTGGGGCTTGATTTGGGGTTAGGACAAAATCTCTGAGTTTTGTACCTGAAGAATTTCTGTGATTCCCAGTGGTAACCCTGGGTAGACTTCTTTCTATGTTTAGGAGCAAAATAGGATAGCTATTGATATTTTTCATTTATCTTCCTTTGCTTGTCATAACTTAATCATAATATTGATAATTTTGTGATTTAGATTCTGTCATTTTTTTAATGGAATAATCAGTATAAATTTATATGTTTCTTTCCTCCAGCCATTTCTTGCTTTCCACTCTTGCAAAGTATACTTGTGCTGAATATTTCTGTATATTTACTGACGCTCATATTTTGATCCTAGTACTAATAACCATAGATAACACTGCAGTGGCATGTACAAAGCTAAGGTAAGAACAGAGGTTTTGTTACTTTTAGGCACTGTGCGTAGATATGAAAAAAATCAAAACAAACAATGATCTCAGGCATATTATCCTCTCGGTGAGACAGTCAAACTCAGCAGAGATATAAGATGATTCTATAAATGCTGATATATAGTAAGAAAACCTCCAATTCTTACCCTCATCAGCATTCAGCAAAGCAAGTGTAGTTGCCTGCTAGGGATAGGAGAAGTTGCTTTATCTCCCTATTCTAAACAAAGGGTGCTTCAGCCATAAATAAACATAGATCAAAGCAAAGACCTGGGGCTGTTTCCCCACAGTGAAAGCAGCTTGTCTGATAAGGTCAAGGAAGTACTCGCTGACACCTGTTCTGATAGTGATTAACCGAATCTCTACATGGCTTCTGACAGAGAACAAAATTAATTTTTGTAAATGAATGTTTGTAAGGAAGGTAATCGGGCAAATGCATCCATGCTGTGTGGTGTGTCTCCTCTTTGTCTCCTTGCTGAACATCTTTGCCTCTTGTGCATCAGCTAATCCTTAAAACTCTTAGACTCTAAAAGTCTATTGTCATGCTTTTCCCTCTGTGAAAATACCTACCAAAGCACTGACACCAGCAATACCATGGATAAAAAGACAGCATTGTATCTTCCTGGTGTTTATAAATATTGAGCTCAAACCTTATGTTCCCCTAGACGGAGTAAACCTTTCTCCCTGTTCCTTGTATATTTTATTATGTTTCTTATATTTGCTGATCATCACAGCCCCTGACAACCTGTCAGCCTAATGTATCTGTCAAGTGTCTGCATGCATTCCTTAGGTATTCACACAGAGAGCTTGGCTCTTTTTGATGAAAGGCACAGCACTTCAGTGGCATTGGAACAGTGGATAAGAATATTGTAAAGAAATGCAATAATCAAGAAGACTTCATGGAGTGTCAGGCACGGGACACTCAGGGCAGTAAGATGTCCTCTCTTACTGAAAGTGATTTCTTCAGGTCCATGTCTAATCTTCATATCTGATGGATGCTGTTGATCCTAGACAGATCCAGTAGTAAGTGTGTAGGGTTTCCTAGAATACCCTGTGATGCTCCCACCAATAGTTCCAAATCTAAAAGAGTCACTAAAAACA